TGTTACATAACAACTGACTCAACCAAACCTCAACACGGGCATGAACTGAAAAAAAAAATATTTGTCATGCGTTGAACAAGCCATTTTCTGCCGTTTGTGTTAGTAACGATTATGAATTGTTTTCCCTCGAGATTATTAACTGTTGACCGTCGTATGGTTATTAATATTGTTATTTGTCATGTGACCGTGTCTTTGAGTCGATCACTTGGTTATTTGAGTGAATTAGTCCGGAGGGTGTATTTCAGGGTCGGATATATTCTGTGAGTATATCTCTTCTATTTCGAGAGTATGTTGATAAAACGCTTGTGGAAGTCTTGTTTTTTCGTGTTTTATGTTTTTTGTTTCGTAGTTTTTTTTCAACGTTTGTGAAAGAGTAGAAATTTTCCTTTCGTTTTTTTTTTATTATTATTTGTTGTTGTTTTTTCAACGTTTGTAAAATAAATAGAAATTTCACTTTCTTTTTTTTTTGTTGTTTTTTGAAACTCGATTGTTTGGCTTTATCACAAATATGTTATAGAAAGTGGAGAGAAAGTAAGAAAGTTGAAGAAAAGGTTAAGAAATACGATAATGAAACGAAATGCAGCTGAAGTAAAGGAAAAACAAGAATGTTAAACAGATTAGATAAAAGATAATAATGTTGCAATTAAAGGATTCCTAGAAAATGGAATTTAGTGAAACGAAAATCCGAAATGCAGCAAATATAGGAATAAGATAAGAAGTTAAATAACATCCTCTGTTTTAATGAATTCGCGATTTTATTGTTAAAGTAAATGGAAAGATAAGACCTTCAGTTTTATTATAACACACCTTATAATTTCTTATAATGGGTGTATAATTATCGACGTAATACTTAATCGAATGACAGAACCACAACTGAACTTATTAAAACATTAAATGAGGCGAGATGTCTTAATCTGTTTTCCGTAATCCCCCCCTCCTCCCTCCCCCTCCCTACCCCCTCCTCTCTCGTTAACAGGACGCTGCTATCACATTTTGTTATCTCGGTGATTGTGCAGTAGGGTTGTTTTTCCTCTGCTCCTGTTTTCCAGTCACACACGCTGCTCTGCTTGACTTCGCGAGGTGGTGATGTTTAATAAGGTGGATTAAATGCTCGTGTGGTTTGGTGATATATCTCGTTCTCTGTCCATCTGCCTATCTACCTCCCTCGCTCTCTTTTTCCTTCTCTCTCTATTTCTATCTCTATTTCTCTTTCATCTTTCTCTTTCTTTCTCATTCTCCCTCTCTCTCTTTCTCTCTCTTTCTCTTTCTCCCTCTCTCTCTCTTTCTCCTCCCCTCCTCTCTCTCTCTCTCTCTCTCTCTCTCTCTCTCTCTCTCTCTCTCTCTCTCTCTCTCTCTCTCTCTCTCTCTCTCTCTCTATGTGTGTGTGTGTGTGTGTGTGTGTGTGTGTGTGTGTGTGTGTTGTGTGTGTTTATAACTGTATACCTATGTATATGTATATATAAATAATATATATATATATATATATATATATATATATATATATATATATATATCTACACACACCTATATCCATATATATATACACATATAGACATATACATACATACATAAATATGAATCTGTTGAGAAAGACTCAGTACTGGATTGGTGGAATCAGTGATAGACGGGTAAGGCTCGACTATCTTGCTACAAAGAGACAACATCCGGCGATAAATAATGAGGTTCTGTAGACCGGGAACAGCATGGAGTGGCGAAGTCGGGCTGAGGCTAGCGGTCAAGGACACACACACGCATATATGTAAATGTGTGTGTGTGTGTGTGTGTGTATATATATAAATATATATATATATATATATATATATGTATGTATGTATGTATGTATATATATACATATGTATATACATACATTATATATATATATATATATATATATATATATATATATATATATATATATATATATTATATATATATATATATTTATATATATATATATATTTATATATATATATATATATATATATATATATATATATATATATATAATATATATACATATAAATATATATATACTGTGTATATATGTATATATGTGAATATATATATATATATATATATATATATATATATATATATATATATATATATATATATATATATACATATACATATATATATGCTGTGTGTGTATATATATATAAATATACATATATATATACATATATATATACATATATATATACATATATATATATATATATATATATATATATATATATATATATATATATATATATATTCCTAAATGCTGTCACCAATGTCGGGTTCAATTTTCCATATACAAAAAATACATACATTCTTACCCCAGTGTAGCCGCCACCATCCTAGGTTTTAGCTTCATGGAATCCCCGAGGAAGCCCACTTTTGACTTGCCTCATCTTAATCGAGTAGCGCGACTTACCCGTCTTAAGCTTGGTGGGGCGGCTTGAAACTATTCCTGTGGAGTGCGTAGCGAAAGGACAATGATCATAGAAACACGTTTACCCGATTTATTTTATTCGGTAATCATAGAGAATTAAAACAGGTGGCATATTCCCGTGTAAATCCTATGAATAAACATCATAAGAAAAGCAAGGAATATTCTCTTCTAATAACTTAATTTAAGTATAAGGTCAACTGTGCACGCTCCATTTGCCTACTGTTCTTAATCAGTAACAATTATAGAAAAAAATATATAAATAAATGTGAGATGGGATTGAGATACCAAACTCCCGGATTTTTCCCCCTATTATTGCCTTGGACGAACAAATGATCAACCCTTCTCTTCTAACGTTCATGATTTTCCTTTCCTACACTTTACTTTGATCTATAGTTCCATTCCCAACGAATTTCTTTAGGATATTTCACCTCTGTTAATGCAGGCAAAAAAAAAGAAAGAAAAAAAAATTCTGGGCTGGCATTTAACATGGTGATAGCACCCTTTCATTTTTCAAACCTTTCTTTCCTTGTGTACAGGATGAGAGTCAAGCAGCTGTCTCATATCACTGTTAGGGACCTTGATGATATCCTTATTATATGGTTATAACACTATATTGCTATAATGATATGCTTTCAAATGAAAAAGCGTAAATAATCAAATTGGCGAGGTATGGCACTTCCGGTGATTTTTACAATGTTTTAAATAGTGATCTCGACATACATACGTACACAGTAAGAAATGAAACTGAATTGTAACGTTTCGAACTCTTCACGAGGTCCTCTTCAGACGAATGATATACCAAAAATGGATACAAGGAGAGAATTTTGACAAGAATATATAGTGGTTGAGAGACAGAACGAACAAGAGCTGAATCAGTTCTCAGGAGGAGGGTCAAGGTCGAAGAGTCTAGGGAAGGCTTTGCTAACTAGCGAGGAGGTAAGGTCGTCCAAGCCCCATTGACCAGCACTCAAGTTAAAGTTAGGCATTTTTCTAATTAATAGAAATTCCAACATTTTCCTCTCCTACGAATTAGCTGATTTGTGAATTAATTTAGCGTTTTTCCCAGTTAATCTTGTGACCTTCATCACGCAAATGAATGAAACACGCATTTGAATCTCTGGCATATCTAACATCACGTTTATCTTCATTGATTCTTTTGTCAAAAGCTCTGCCGGTCTCGCCTGTATAAAACTTGGGTCAATCCTTACAGGGTATAGTATAAATACCGGGAGAAGCCCCAAGAGCACCGCTAGTCGCATTCAGGCTCATTCATCTGCGAGATGGAAATTTTATACTCATTCCCGTAATACTCAACAGGATAGTGACAGCAATCTTTTAATTATTCCGTATAACCCGTCCCTCGATGAGAAACGACACATGTTTAAAGGCGCTGGAATTGACATTGTTTTTACGTATTCGAACACGTTGCGTAATACTTTGGCGGTGCCCTTGGGACTTCTCCCGGTATTTATACTATACCCTGTATAAATACCTATGTACATATTTCTATGTGTATATATATATGTGTGTGTGTGTGTGTACATACATTTACATATATATTTATATGTGTATATATATATATATATATATATATATATATATATGTGTGTGTGTGTGTGTGTGTGTGTGTGTGTGTGTGTGTGTGTGTGTGTGTGTGTGTGTGTGTTTACGTGAGTGTATGTATGTGTGTGTGTGTGTGTGTGTGTGTGTGTATATGTATATGTGTGTGTGTGTATATGTATATGTGTGTGTGTGTGTTCGTTTGTATGCATTTATATATATATATATATATATATATATATATATATATATATATATATATATATATATATGTATATATATATATGTATATATATATATATATATATATATATATATATATATATATATATATATATATATATATATATATATGTGTGTGTGTGTGTGTGTGTGTGTGTATGTATGCGTCTATAGATAGATATACAGATAGAAAGAGGGAGAGAGAACGATAGATAGATAGATAAACAGATACACGGATGAATAGAAAGATAGATGTGTGTGTGTGAGTATGTGTGTGTCGATGCGTGTGTGTGTGGGTGTGGATTGACAAATAGATACAAAAATAAGCATATATATATGGAGAGAGAGAGAGAGAGATGTGTATATGTGTGTGTATATATAGACACATATATTGCGCGTTTCTCCCATTTTCTTTTTCTCCATTGAGGGAAGCAAGTGTTCGTAATATGCCGCGGCGGAGCAGAGGAAACATCCAGATAAGTCCTTTATCTCCGTCTCAACCCTATCCTACGGATTCCTGTCTTTTGGCTATAGATTATATTCTAATGTTGATTGATTTCTAAAACAATATGCATAGGAGGAGTAGGAATCTTGAGTTTTTTTTAGGGTATCCTTATTGTCATTCGCGATGGCCGTGACGTTGTTTCCACCGTTGTTAGTGGACTCTGATCGGGATGCGTCGGGCTTGAAAGGATGCGCTCGGTAGGATTCGGACACGTGTCCCAAGTGTCATAGCTGTGGAGAAGGTGAGGGCAGGCAGTGTCCCGAGCGGCTCGAGAGTGACGAGTGCTGTCGCCTCTCGGACTGACACTGGCATTTGCTGTCACGTCTCCGTCGGTTCGTTTCGTGACGCGATGACTCCGTCAGGGAACTTCTCGTCCGGATGCTTGCATGTGACTTCGACTGTGATATAAGGCGGACTGTCTTTTTTGTGGTGTCAACGAGGAATGGATATTTCGTTTGAGGGACCGTTCGAAAAGGAGCTGGGAGGAATTCGAAAAAAAACGCCAGCTTATCTAGGTTGTGGAGATGAATTAACGTCGATAAACGTCGACATCGGTGTGTGTTAATCTGCATCTCGCCAACCGTTTTCCTGCCTTTAAATGAACTTTGATCATCCTAAATCGCTGGTTCGTGGACGTGAATTAGCCAAGGGCGTCGCCATGCCACAGGTACAAGACCTCGCGCCGGCCGAGTCGGGAGGCGTCGGGTCGAAGCGGCAGGGCACCAAGGACGGCCCGCTCAAGGTTGCGGTAATGGAGGGCGCGGGAGATAACGCGGCCCCGAAGCCTACTGCGCCGAAGGACGCGACTGATAAAGCGGCGGCGGAGCAAGGCAAGGAGGAAAACGGCCAGACGCCGGGGCCCGAGGGAGAGGTGAAGCTGCGGAAGAACAGCATCCAGGAGCGGCGAAAGGGCAAGGGCTTGCTGGTTGGGTCTCAGGTACTGCGATTACCTGTGCAGAGGTCTGCCTCATCCCCGCGCCTCACGTCGGAGCGCGGGGAGCAAATCTCCCTGGACCCCTCCGTCCGGGACCGCGCGCCCTCCCCCACGTCCTCCAGCAGCCCCAACCAAGGGGGCCCAAGAAGCCCCGCCATGATGATGCTGTCGCGGGTCTTCAGCTTCCACAACGCGCGCTCCCCTAGCAAAGCCTCCCCCTCGCCGCCGTACTCCCCGGTGTCCGCCTCCTCCCACAGCCCGCAGAAGGACTCGCCCCAGCACCGCCGCAGCCTCCACTTCCCCTTGCCCCACAGTCCGTCGCCCACCGGAGGGAAGTCGAAGTTCCCCAAGTTCTCCTCCTCAGAAGGGTCGTCGGCCAAGTCGTCCCCCACCAAGTCGTCCCCCACCAAGTCGTCGCCCACCACGACCTCCCCGTCGCAGTGCAGCCGCTCGGAGCCGGCGACGCCTAAGAAGGTGTCTCCGCTGAACTCGAAGTCCCGATCCAGATTCTTCCTGCCGTCGCCGCCCGTGTCTCCGGTGCGAGCGACGGTGGAGCGAATGGGCGACACGGGCGGCATCCTGTTCCGCCCAAGCAGCCACCGGAGGAACCTGCTGCACCGCCGCACGCTCTCCGATAACCTCGGCTTCAACCTGGACAACGTCAACTACAAGCAAATCGAGAAGACCAGGAAGAGGAGCCGCGATGACATGGAGTGAGTGACGCGAATGAAAGGGATTTATATCTGGATATGTTATGTATCTCTCTCTCTCCCTCCCTCTCTCTCTCTCTCTATCTCTCTCTCTGTCTCGTCTCTCTCTCTCTCTCTCTCTCTCTCTCTCTCTCTCTCTCTCTCTCTCTCTCTCTCTCTCTCTTCTCTCTTCTCTCTCTCTTCTCTCTATCTCTCTCTTTTTCTCTCTCTCTCTCTCTCTTTCTCTCTCTCTTTCTCTCTCTCTCTCTCTCTCTCTCTCTCTCTCTCTCTCTCTCTCTCTCTCTCTCTCTCTCTCTCTCTCTCTCTCTCTCTCTCTCTCTCTCTCTCTCTCTCTCTCTCTCTCTCTCTCTCTCTCTCTCTCTCTCTCTCTCTCTCTCTCTTCTCTCTCTCTCTCTCTCTCTCTCTCTCTCTCTCTCTCTCCCTCCCTCCCTCCCTCCCTCCCTCCCTCCCTCCCTCCCTCCCTCCTTCCCTCCCTCCTTCCCTCCATCCTTCCCTCCATCCTTCCCTCCCTCCTTACCTCCCTCCCTTCCTCCCTCCCTCTCCCTCTCTCTCCCTCTTCCTCATTCTCCTTTCTCTCTCTCTCTCCCTTTCTCTCTCTAAATGTATGATTCTCTTCCATGCCTCACTTTCTGTCAGCCATATTAATAAAGAATGATAAAAAATAGGCATGATAATAAAAGATAAGCAAGGAAAACAACAAAACATCTTTTTTTAAAAGGACTTACAAAAAATACATATATTCCAAAAAAGAAAATCCGACTCCGCGCTGATGCCCTCGCTGGCACCTGGCACCTGCACCCTTTGTGTCTGTAAATGACGTGTTTCTTCTCATTAATAGAAGGGCAGTTCGGTTAGAGAATGAAAGAGGACCATATTAAAGGAGGAGTGAGAGAGAGGGTGGGGGGAGAGAGGGAGAGGGAGGGAGGGAGGTGAAGGGAGGGAGAGGGAGAGAAAAGGGGAGGGGAGGTAGAGGGATAAGGAGAGAAAGAGAGAGAGAGAGAGAGACTGAGACAAAGAGTAGACGATAGCGCCTAGTGTACGCACACCAAGAGTGATTACAGTCCATAGCACTGTAAGTTATCTCGGATTCGCTTTCCTTTGTAGGATGTACCTGCGTACTTATGCCCGCGCGCGCGCGCGTGTGAGTGTGTGCACGTGCTTCTGTCTGTGTGTGTGTGTGTTTTGTATGTGTGACATTACTCAACGTAGATTTCAATTTCCATATGATGTACAAACCAAGCCAACTGCCTCGTATTTACACAAGTAATGGAAAGGGTTATAGTTCGCAGAGCTCGTCCTAGATAGCGTTGCCCTGAGGAGTGTCTAGCGAATGCGATAGGATCTCCCAGCATCTCCGAGACCGTTGGGGGATCCCAGCATCCGGAGGCGATGTCGAATTGCTCAAAGACCTTAGGCTGCTGCTCGGGTCTCGGGCGCCGTCGTGTGCATTGGCAAATGTATACGAGTGTGTGTCTGCGTATGCATTGATGTGCTTATTTTAAAAAGGTATTTATGTATCTATTCATTCATACACACACATGATTTATTTTAGAGCCGAAAATAACCTTGCATTTATCAAATCTTGTCTCTCCTCTGTAACGAAAAAGAATTATAAGAATCAACGAGATTACGTTACCGGAAATTACAACGGTGCTATGACAGTATCGCCGTGGTGTTACGTTTACAGATCGACCGACTGTTTGGGGACACACGTACACACGTGCACGCACACGCACATGCACACGCACACGCATACGCACACGCACACGCACACGCACACACACATACATACACACACACACAAACATATACACACACACATACATACATTATCATTTTTGTACTGGTTTTGAAAGTATTTCTGTGAGTTTTGTTCAGGTTGATGACCAAGCAAAAGAAAATGAGAAGGTACAGAGGCACTTAACGTTTTACGCTAATTTATATTTTGTTCTCTTGCTTTCTTCCTGTCGTTTTTTTCCACTTTTCTAATCCCTGTTTTCTTCACAATCTCTTCTTACGCTTTATTTTGCCTCCCTTCTTAACTATTCGAATCATCTGGTAGCTCGTTATCTCACTGAAATTAACTGAACCTTTCCATTCTTCTTTTCTTCTGTTATTGTCGTTCCTACTTTATTTGGATGTTAAGTATACCCAGACACTTTTTATGCAGTTGTTAAGTATCCCTAGCCACGTATTATTTAGTTGTTAAGTATCCCTAGACACTTTTTTATTCACAGTTGTTGAGTATCCCCAGCCAAGTATTATTTGATTGTTAAGTATCCCAAGCCACTCTATTATTTGCTGTTAAGTATAGCCAGCCACTTTATTATTTAGTTAAGTATCCCCAAACACTTTATGATTCAGTTGTTAAGTATCCCCAGCCACGTAGTATTTACTTGTTGTGTATCTCCAGTCACTCTATTATTTGCTGTTAAGTATCCCCAGCTACTTAATCATTTAGTTAAGTATCCCCAGCTATTTTATTATTTAGTTTTTAAGTATCTCGCTGAAAGATCCCAGGTAACATCACACTCCGTCGACAACAGGAACGTTCGTCTGTGGCCGTTAATGAACCTACTTAATGTAAATGACATTTTTCCCGCCTACTCCTGAGAACCATTTAGTGACGACGGGGAAACCTGTCCTTGGATCTCTCTCTAGCATCTATGCGAGAGCGACGGAGAGGCGAGAATTCCGTGCGCTGGAGAGTATAAGGGTGTGCCTGTGGAGTTGGGAAACGATTTTCTTTTTTTTTATCGGAACTAATCCAAAAATCAATTAACAATAGATAATCATTATTTACTATTTGATTCATGATAAGAAAGATTTCTTCCTTTGGGATTTTGTAATTCTGATAGGTGTCAAAAGCTTTTCTCTTCCTATTATTTTCAGTTGTAAGTACTCGGTGACACGAAAAGTAAATAAATCATCAATCTATTCATCCATCTATCTATCTATCTGTCCATTCATTCATTCATTCAGTCAGTCAGTCAATCAGTCAGTCATTCACGCACCCATCCATCCATCTATCCATTCATCCACTTATCCATCTATCCATCCTTCCACCTATCCATTCATCCACTTATCCATCCACACATCCATACATACATTCACTCAACCATCATCCATCCATATGTATGTGGTTATGTTCCCACGAAACCATATGCAGTACTTTTTCATGATACTTTACTATTTTCTTTCTCTCTGTCTGCGAACACTGTGTCAGTCACTCGTTTTTTATTTATTTTTTTATGTTTTTTTTTCTTCCAATTCCCTCTCTCCTCTTTTCGTTCCCTCATTCTTCATCCCGACGCTCTAAAACCCAATTCAAAAAATTATCGGCAGTTATTATTCCTTCCTCTTTTATATCTGTGTCATAGTCTGTTTTTTTGTTTGGTTTTTGTTTTTCTTGTTTCTAATGGTCTTTCTTTCTTTGCCTTTGTCCTTTCTCTTTTTTCTTTTTGTTCATTTCTTTCTTTTTGTAGTATTACTTTTACTTTTCTTGTCTTTTGTTTTATTCCTTGTCCTTTTCTTAGTTTTTCATTCTCTCCTTCATTTATTCAATTGCTCAGCCTCATCCCTCCCTTATTTCCATCACCCCGTCCTCTCTCTCTCTCTCTCTCTCTCTCTCTCTCTCTCTCTCTCTCTCTCTCTCTCTCTCTCTCTCTCTCTCTCTCTCTCTCTCTCTCTCCCTCTTACTACCACCTTATCTTCCTCTCGATCCCTCTCTGTCTCCCTCTCACTCCCTCTCCATCTCCCTGTCACTCTCTTCCTATCTCCTTTCCACTCCCTCTCACTCCCTCTCCATTCCGTCCCCATCTTATCTCCTTCCCACTTCCTCCCCCTTTCTCTCCCAGGTACCCCATTGCCCTCAAACTCCCTCTCCCTCTCACTCCTTCCTCATCTCCCCAAGTCTTTTCGTATCCCTTCAGATCTTCCTATATCTCTCCAGCTCCCATATCTCCCCACAACTCTCCATCTCCCCATATCTCTGTATCTCCCTCCACATCCCATCTCCCATATCTCCCCACATCTCTCTTAGTCTCCCCCCATAACTCCTCATCCCCCCATCGCTCCCCACATCTCCCCATTCCCCCCAAAAATTTCCCCTCATTTCACCCCCCCCAACTCCCCATCTAACTCCCCATCTCCCCACCCCCCTAATTTTCCCCTCATTCCCCCTCCCCCGCCCAACTCCCCATCTCCCATCCCTCCAATTTTCCCCTCCCTCCCCTTCCCCTGCCCAACTCCCCATCCCCCCCCCCTCGAGGAACCACAACCTCAGCGCTCCCCTCGTGACACGTGATTACGCCTACGAGGTATAACAATCGACAAATCGATTTTCAGTAACGGTTGCCTCGTTCCCCTGGCGAGTCTTTGCCGGACGTTATTGAGGCCAGAAAGTTAGGAGATGATGATGAAGATGGTGATGAAGGAGGAGGAGGAGGAGGAGGAGGAGGAGGAAGAAGAAGAAGAAGAAGAAGAAGAAGAAGAAGAAGAAGAAGAAGAAGAAGAAGAAGAAGAAGAAGAAGAAGAAGAAGAAGAAGAAAGAAAAAAAAGGGAAAAAAGGAAAAGAAAAAGAAAAAGAAGAAGTGGGAGGTTAGAAGGAGGATGAGAAGAAGGAGAAGGAGAAGAAAAAGGAGACTGAAAAAGAAGGGGAGGGAGAAGGAGATGAAGGAAAAGAAAGGGAGAAGTAGAAGAAGAAATAGGAGAAGGAGTTGAAAAAGTTGATGAAGCAAAAGAAGGAGAAGAAGATGATGAAGAAGAATATGGAAAAGGAGAAAAGGGGGAAGAGGAAGAAGGAGAAAAAGTTTTTTTTCTCTTTTTTTACTTCTGTTTATCAGTGGATTAGAGCAGGTAGTCTGTGATGTGATTCCTATGTCGAGTTTTTCAATTTAAAAGAGATTGGCTGACTGATTGGCGGGTCACCATGCGCAGGCCAGGTTGCGGTGGGGGAGGGGGGGGGCCTCGTAGGTGGGTTTGGGGTGGTTGGGGGGGAGAAG